GTAAAAATGAAAGATCCTGCCTTCAAATAATTCCCCAGACTGCAAAAGGCTATTTGCCATGAGTTTATCAATAATCAATGCAGGAAAATGTAGGCATTTCTTTTTATATATACTTTCATATGATTGTAACTCTGTATTCAGAGGCAGTCTAATATTATAACAATGAACTTGTTCTAGATGGTCTGTGATTTGGAAGACATGTTTGATTTTGTCATCCAGCTAGGATGGATATATTTAGATGCTTTTTGGGACTGATTTTGTCTTTTACTGCATATCAACTCATTCTATTTTTTTTTTCTGCAATGAAATCCATGACTTTTAGCTTCACCAGCAGCACTAGGAACATGACTACTCTGATGAGTTTGACACATAGCAAGAATGTCCAAAAAGTTTCTATTAGGCATACTGATTAGTTTGGAAATAACTGAGGTCATTTGGGTGCTGAGGAGAGCTGTTGATGGAGCCCAAGCCTGTTATTTCCAGTCTCTGGAATCTGCATACTTCTCCAGGGAGAAGCAAACTGAAGTCTGCCCCTCTGTGTGTACCAGAAGTTCTCAGTTATTGAAGCCTAATGTTTTATTAACGTCCTTCCATCCACTTCAGAGTTACTGGAGTTCTACCACAGTAAGAACACTTGGGTCTTTTTGTTCCATTCCTCTGTGCTATCAGCACACATCTCACACCTCTGTTTCAGTGAAGGATTATACAGCAATAAACAATGCCCAAAATGAGATGTGCTGCTACAACTGAGACAGGCTATCCTCCTGCTCCCGACTCAGAGGACCACTGAAGACAAAAGGACTGATAGCAGAAGCATCCAGGGTTGTAAAACCTCCAAAATTTGTTAGTCTGATAAAATCCTCCTGCAAATTCCTTATTATTGCAAAGGGGCCAGCTGCAGCAGCCAAGTGTCTCCTTTATCTCAAAACTCCAAATCAAGCCTCTCATAACTGGCCTGGCTCAAACCGCACTCTCTGCTTGGACACAGAAGTGGCACACTGCTACATTTAGAAATACACACATATAAAAGGACACAGAGAGGAGTGTCTGAGAATCAAAACATACTTCAGGGAGGCACAACATTCAAGCTGAAAAGGGGTTTAAGTTTTTACAGGTATCACCCTCAAGGAATGAGGAAATTCCTCAAGGACTGAGCAGCCCCACTCTCCCCTCTCACCATGTTTGAAGCTATTCTCTTTATAAAGACTACTCTTTAAAAGTCATCAAAAGAGGACATGGATGGAAGGTCATGAAGTTTAACATAACTGAAGTCCTTTCACAACTGTGGGGAGGCATTGGCAGCAAGCATTCTCAGCCTTCACTCTGCTCAGACATGTCATTAATAGTATCAAAATGTGTACTGACACCAGACAATATACTCCATGTTACAGCATCCCTTAAATCAACCTGGTAACAGAAGCTAGCTTGGACTGCAGCAGGACATTTACCAAAGAGGGTGCCTTAGTCTCAGGATGACAGCAGAGCTTCAATACCTGCCCAGAGCTCTTATCAATGTCTGGATTAAATTTATGATGCTGTTCTTGATCTGTACAGCTCTAAATTACATGGGATTTGTCTGTCTAAGAGACCACATCTCCTGTGCCATGCTGCCACAGCTGCTGTCAGCAGAAAGACTCATGCCAGACATGTTTGGTATTAAAAAAGGGAAAAAAAAAGTTGTCAGCAGGACTGACTCACTGGGGACAGGCTGCTTTGCAATTTACTCCCACCTTTAGTTTGAAATAGCTAAAATCTATTGACCCCTTAAGTGGGCTAAAAGGTACACTGCTTTCCTGGGAACACAATAAAGAGTGATATTTTTAGACACATCTGAAAGCCATGCTTGTTTTCTAACTCCTGATTATTTTCCTTTTGTTATTAATAATAAGGTAATCTGAGGTCTTCATCTTTTAAGACAATGTCCTTTAATCTAGCAGAATAGACACATTTTATTAAAATAGGACCTTAGATAGCATTTTAGGGAAAGAATAGCACAGTAGATGTACTCTTAGAGCTCTTTATCTTCAGAGGGGAGGCCATTTGTTTTGTTAAAAAATGCTGGCCTTTCTTCAGTTTAGTTTGGTATAGGATATAGATATACATGTATGCACATACCTCTTACCGTGATGAGATCTCTTTGGTCCTTTAAGCAGGACCAAAACATGTCTGCTGTTTAACCTGGCAGACAGCTATCACCCTTTAAAATTACCTTTTGTGCTCCACTTGCCCACCCCTAATTGCTTCAGTTAATTAGTGCTAGGATAAAAGCTTTAGTGGCAAATGTTAAAAAAGACAAAGCTGTTTCACAGAAGGGGAGGAGCCTTTTCAAAAACTGAGTATCACCTAATGGGTACCTAAATCTGAGTTTAGCTCTATTTTGCAGTTCCACAATAATGCATTCATATTTTATATTGTGGTGACAAGGCTGTATACCCAGATCCTAGTACAATTGCTTAATTTTTCAACCTTAGTATAAATTATAAATAATGATTCTTTGGGGAACAGAAAACTTCCTGAGGAACCACAAGGGGTATTCTCAAAATACAGCTCCGTAGTAATTACAACAAGTCCTCTTTCCTTACACAGAAACCAAATATAAAGAAAACACATAAAAACATTTGTGAGTGGCTGAAGAGCTGATTTATTCTGTTATCAGAAACAGAAGTATTCTGTTATCTGAAGACTGCTATACAAGGACTGGGTCCTCATATATTCATATTATGGTCATTAGCGTTCCACAACTGGATCTTTTCCCTCACTCGACAGCAAATCAACTGTTTTCACATCTGCTTGTAGCTCATATTTCCCCAAAGGATTTCAGCGATCATATTGTTTTTCTATTTTCCAATGTACTGTCTGACCTTTTTCCTCAAGGCCTTGCACAATTCACTTTAGTCAATCACTTCTTATTGATTGTTAGCGCCTGCTCATTCCCTGTCTATCTTTGTTTTAATGAATATAGCAGTATTTTTTAAGCAATCTTGTTTTTAATGTGTTCTGTCATCTAATCACTGTTCTTTGCACCCTTGTTGCTTTAGATTCCTCATTTATACTTCTGTTCTGTTTCATCCCAATTCAAGATAAAATTCTACCTTCTTTCAGATTATCCTTTCTTTTGTATCATGATTGTATATACAAAAACTTCAGCTTTCAGCAAACCACTATCCACTTCAGACCTTACCTAAAGCACCACTCTTTTGAGAATTTATAGGGTTCTGACAAAAACCCTTTCTTGGCTTATAATTTCTCCTGACACTTCTGTATGTTTCATACACTTGCTTCTTATTAGGAAGAAGCATAGAGAAGAGACAGTCCCTGGAAATACTTTTTCAGGATTCTTCTTAAGTCAAACCCCATCTGTTTACCTGAAGATTCTCCTACATTCTGGAGGGCACAAATAGTGGCTAATTTGCAGCTGTCATCTTATCTTTTGCCTGAATCTTGGAAAATCCAATCATTCCACTTCTTGGGCTACTTTTCCCTCCAGAGCTCTGTGGTGGTATCAGGTAACTGTTCCCTGTTGCATCACTACAGAAGGAATGCTGCCACACATTTTCTTACACTTGATTTGGAGTCAACTATAACCACACATACAGGATACCATCACTGGGAACCCCTCATTTCTAACTGGCTTTTTCACTCATCACAATGGATGATCCCTTTGGTCCTCTTAGCAATAACTAGACATCATTAACTAGCAAAGGCTGCAGACAGTCAGTGCTTTCAGAACGACTGCCAAAAGCTGACTGAGAACGGCTGTTCAGGAAACTTCTGCAAAGATTTCAAGTGAAACTTCTGCTTTTAAAGCAAGACTTTCTTTGCTGGAAAATCACCAAATCACTTTATTTCAATATCAACCATTCAGTTGACAATAAACTTGGCTTAAAGCTGCTCTTCAAGCAGCTGTAAGAAAACAGAAGTATCTTGGAGGACCATCTCCTCAGTCCTATGTTTTCTTGGGACTCTTTTCTCTAACTATTCCCTATTTTACTGTCTCATTTTTTGGATATAACAGTGATGAATGAGAGAAATGGTGGGGTCAACTTATTTGGCACCTGGATGATGAGCCAGAAAGCCTTCTTTATACCAACATATTGCTTCAGTGCACTGACCCATGACACATCCAACACAGGACCAAAAGAGATATCCATAGAAACCTTGACAATAGGTCTCTAGGGAAAAACCAGTGCAGCTTTACAGCAGCTTTCTGCTTGAGATTGATTGCACCCAGGATGCCAAGAGACTCACAAAGAGACCCTTATCAGAATACAGAAAGGGATCAAATAGGAAAGAGAGCCACTCACCTCAGAGTCCAGCAGCACAGAACTGCTATGCCAGGAATTCTGGAATAAGTTACTCGTCCCTTTCCATTGGTAAGCATGCTGGTGCTATTAAGCCAATTATTTTGCATCAGTGTCAACTGAGAAATAAAGTTCTCTAAGTAGGAACTGAGGACAGGAAACACGCTATGTAGCTCTTTGCTAAAATCAAGTGAAGTTTTTGCCAATCCGTAATTCATACTACAATTCTTTATAAACTTTCACAGCTACAAGTAAACCAAAATGGCAAATGCCAACAGGGGTTGAAGCTGTGATGCAGATCTTCTCCCAGCCACTGGCTACCAGTGAATGATGCTGCAAATGTGATATGAGTAGGACCGATGTAAAAGAAATTTTAAATCAGCTCCTTTTTACAAGCAAAACTCCTCATGCTGGGAAAAGGAAAGGAAAGCTCTCCATGTCTTTATTTTCTTCTACACTGAAATCACATTAAAAAACCCAACCCTGTTGTATCTCCTCCTCTTTTCACACCTCACAAGACTGTGTGGGTATTGATGTGGGGGTGGATGTCTGAAAACAAGGCATGTTCCTCTACACAACTGTATGCTATGGTAGAGATGGTTTATTGCCTTTCATGTCTAACAAGACATAAGAGAATGAATTTAATTTTCTGAAAAGTACTGGCTTTCTTCTCTGAAGTGCAAGAGGAATTCAACTCACCATCTGCAAGAACTACTTCATAGATACAAGACACAGACTCTCCAGGACTTTCATCCCGCGGTTTATCTAGGAAAAAATAAGAAAGAAGAAAGAAGATAATATCATCACACAGATTTTCACTTTTTTTTTTTTTTTAAGATAAAAATCTAGATGTATTTTAAATGCAAGATAAAGCTATTATTCTGCAGGAAAAAAAAAAGTCATAGAACAAATCCAAGGGCTGGTACAGAGGAACAAGCCTAGAGAGATCTTTAGATGCAACTGTATTTACTCTTTATCAGTAAATGTCCCTTTGACTGATTTTTTTTTCAATTTACCAGAGCTGGTGAGAAATGTGTACTTGAGGAAGGCGTTTCCCTAGAAGTCAATATGGCAGACAATGGAAGAGGAGTTGGGCATAAGGAAAGAGAATAATGTGCAGTAAAGCAAGAAACTGAAATGGATACAGACATTTCAGTTTTGAAGATGAGACAGCTGTTCAGTGAGTGCTCTGTTTGATAATACAGATCTGGTTACAGACAGTATCACAGATTCGTAGAGTGGTTTGGGTTGGAAAGGACGCTGAAGAACATTTAGCTCCAACCCCTTAGCCATGGGCAGAGACACCTTCCAATAAACCAGATTGCTCGAACCTCATCCAACCTGGCCTTGAACACCTTCAGGGATGGGGCATCCACAGGGTCTCTGAGCAATCCATTCCAGTGCCTCATTATCCTCATCATAAAGAGCTTCTTCCTTACATCAAACTTAAGCCTACCCTCATCCTGTTTAAAGCCATTCCCCCTTGTCCTATCCCCAGAACCTTCTATGCTCTGGGCCAAACAATGCCAGCTCATTCAGCCTGTCTGAAAGAGAGGTGCTCCACTACTCTGAGAATCTTCATGGCCTCCTCTGGACTTGCTCTAGCAGGTCCATATTGTTCATATGTTGGGAGCTTCCAGGGCTGGATGCAGCCCTGCAGGCGGGGTCTCACCAGAGCCAAGGGGCAGAATCCCCTCCCTTGCCGGGCTGCTCAGGATGCAGTTGGCTTTCTGGGCTGTAAGTGCACTTGATGATTTTCTCTTCAACCAACACCTTTAAGTCCTCAGGGCTGCATTCCATCCACTCTCCACCCAGATTGTATTTGTGCTTGGGATTGCCTCAACCTGTGCAGGGCCTTGCACTTGGCCTTCACAAGGTTTGTGTGGGCTCACTTCTTGAGCCTGTCAAGGTCCCTCCAAATGGCATCCCTTTCCCTCCAGTGCATTGACTGAACCACACAGCTTGGCGCCAGCAAGTTTGCTAAGGGTGCCCTCAATGCCATGACAAAAGATGTTAAACAGCACCCAGCACAGAATCACTGAATGGGTCTGCTCGGAACAGACCATTGCAACTCATCTGGTCCAAACCTCCCTACTCAAGCAGAGTCATCCTGAAACACATCCAGAGGATTGCATCCAGACAGGTCTTGAACATCTCCAGTGAGGGAGACTCCAAAACCTCTCTGGCAATATGTTCCAGTGCAGCAAAGAAGTTCTTCCTCACATTTAGGTGAAACATCAGTTGCTTCTTGTCCTATTGCTTGGCATCACTGAGCCTGCCTCCATCCCCTTGACACTCTCCCTTCAGATACTGATAGACATTGATGAGGTCCCTTCTCAGCTGTCTCTTTGCAAGGCCCAACTCTCTCAGCCTCTGCCCTGTAAGACTCTGTATTAACATTTTCAGGACCAAGTTCTGGACTCACAGACTTTTAAGTAAGTACACAGAGACCTACCAAAAGCAAAATCTAATTCTGTTTTTCTATTATGACCTTAAATAGGTGTTATACTTCATCTTTTTCAGGGATAAGTGACAATTTCTTTGCAAAACAACCCTTGTTTCATCCCATTTCCAAGAAGATGGTACCAATCTAACAGAAGTAACATTATGGTGAAATTACAAATATCAATTTTGCTACAACAGTTGTCTGCAAAATATATACAAGGGGTACCTTTACAGAGGTCTTCTCTAGATGCCTTCCAATGATAACTTTTCAGTAATTGTGACTGGTAGCCACAGCGCAAGACTCAGTCAGACTCAATAATACATTACATGAAAGATATATAAAACTACAGATTCACACAGCCATTTTACAGCATTACCTGCAAAAATACTTGCTGGAAATCTTAAATTATTTGTCAGCTTGGGAAATAGACTCACATCCCCAATTAAATACTGACTGATGACTGGGCCATAAACAACACAAATTTGGTAGAGCTCTATTACAAACCTTGAAAGAGCAGACTAAAAATCCATTAATTTATTTTTAAAATTTAAAAATTACAAATTAAATAAACAAGTAAAATTGCAGTATGTTAAGTTAGTACATGCTGCTGCAATGCTTATGTTCTAGTTATCTGACTTATTATTAGCTAGAATTGTAATGAGTTTGTCCTAAATGCTTCTAAAAAATGCAAAAGATTTTCTAAAAAAACCATGCTAAAAAGCTTTAAGATGCTAGTGTACTCGCCTTTTGTGTGTAATAACTTTTCATCCAATTATTCTCAAAAATAAGGGGAAAAAACATCACATACATGACACATACTTCAGAATCCAAGAGTACAGGTTACCATGGCTAGCTACATAGATTAGAACATGAGCTGCTAAGAAGCCTAACAAAGCTCACAAATAAAACATAATAAGTTGTGTTTTCTGTGAATTTTGCAGAAAAAAATAGAAGAAGTAGCAAAGAAGTCAAACAGTTTAAGAGACAGGGGATGACAGTCTCAACATCTTATCCAGGGTTGCCACCTCCAGACAATCACTTGAGTTTCTCTTCTGCTTTGAAATAGCCAAGATCTCATGTCAGATGACAGAACTTAGTGACATAAACCAGTTTTTTTGTCAGCAGTCTTTACCAACCCTCATCACTGCACCAGCAACCCTTCTGTGTGGAATGGAGAAGCACAGCATCTCAGCAAGATGTAATACTCTGGTAATCTTAGCAGTCCCTGCAGAGCAGTTCAAAGATTCATTGTCAGGGGAAAATGGAAATGAGAGCTATACTGCAGCAGACACCAACCAACAAAATGTCCCTTCTGCTCTTGTGCTTATGATACAGTCACACATTATTTTCTTTTTAATAAAAAAATTTAATTGGCATTTGAGGTGCTCTTCAATAAGCAGATGACATCACTGCCTTAAAATCCCAACAGTGGTATGCACTATCTGTATTAAATACATTGGGGAAGGAGTAAACAGAGGCACAACCATGTGGTCTCAATTATTGAAACCTCTCCTGGCAGTGAATGAGGCCAGAACCACCCACTTACTTTTCTCTACTTACTCAGTCTTTCATGTTCGGGGGGAAATCTTCACAATCAAGACTTAGGTCACACAGATATGCAGATAGTATTTAGTATTCACAAACAAACAAGACCAAAAGTTCTAGTCATTTTCTTCTTCAACTTCAGGTTTTTTAGCAATTTAGCTCAATTTTCTCATAGACTCCAAGTCAGTGTCAAAATTTAGGTGAAGCACTTGCCTACTGAAGCCAATGGTGAAGTTCCCACACAAATCAGGGGTTTAGCTCATCAGCACAAGTCTTGCTCACAGCCCAAGGAAATCCATTGGCATTTATTACTTGTATTTGAGTACCAATGCAAAGGGGATTTTACAGGAGATTAAGCAAAGCAGTGGAGTCAAAATGTGAAACATTACTTCAGTATTCAATGTCATACCAAATCACAATAAAATTGATGCCACTGCACAAGGAATGAAACAGGAAACAGATACCATAAAAGTAGTGGTAAAAATACAATTATTTCTCTCTTTTCCTTGGTCTGCACAGTAAAATTAGCCCCTCAGTATTTTAAGTGGTCTGAAGATCTGCATGACTTAAGCCCTATTTTAGCTCCCAGCCTTTTCCCACATTTACTTATTAGAGAAAAACATTCTGTGCTAATATCTTATTTGTCCACATCTATACCATACTATTAGTTGCCAAAGTAGGTTTCCTAACATTACTCTTCTTGTTCACTAATATTGTGTGCAGATGCATGGAATACCTTTTAGGTAAACAATCAGAAATTAATGGCACATTGCTGTCTCAGGTAAAAGTTACAAATTTATTCTGAGAATCTTTCCTGGTCTGTCAAAGACTATGGGTACCATTTTCTAGTTGGGTTATGTTATTTTATGTACCTCTCACTTTTTAACAAAATAGCAGATAATGAATGGATACATACAGATTTGATGTGTTGTTCTCAACTATCAAATTTTGTAGAAGTAAATTCTCTTCATATTTTGGGATCAAAAAGAACAAAAGGGATATCACTGCTTGGGGAAAAAGCTGGAAGTGGAAGGGACAAGAGTTGCTTTTATGAAGCTTTAAAATATGAAACCAAATAAAACTAATGTATACTTATGACTAATGTATACTTATGACTCCTGAGCTGTACCAAGAAGTCCCACCAAAAGTCTAATAAAAATGTCTGTATACTTTGTAAACAGTGTCACAGAAAATTATTTGTCTTAGATAAGATCTGTTCTCTTTTTGTACAATTAATACTGAGGACAAACACAGGAGAAATTGAGGACATTTAAGCATCTAATTTAACTACCTACAGAGGCAATTACCTATCTACAAAGCCTTTACATAAACACATGCTTGCCTGAATTGAAGTCTTTCAGGATTAAACAGAAAAACCCCATCTATGTTTAGTACCCCAGGATACTGAATTAATACACTGAAAATATGTCAGTTTAAGAAAAGGGTACACAGCAGACCAAGGACAAGTAGCAGAAAGACACAGGACAAGGAAAAGACAGATGCAAGCAACATATATTTCCTAATTCTACTTTCAACAATATTAGGAAAAGCTGATGAAGAAAAGTCAGAATTCTAGAGTCTCACTGGGACATCTAGATGTTAACACAGAAAAATCAAACTTCTGAGTATTCTCCTCCTTCTCTGGGGTTTACCTTTATATGGCAATAGGCATAGGATCTACAAAACTCAAAACCAATTCAGAATCTGACATTTTCAAGCAGTGAAATATTTTACAAACAAATCCTGCAAAAGGAATCTCTTGACAACAATAAAAATATTTGTGTTCCTCTTCATGCAGAAAATAAATATAATAAAGTCTGTCAACATTCTGGAAATATATGTTAGAAAGGTCACTCTCCATGTCTTAGCTCTCCCTTTACTCATCCAAGAACATGTTCAAACAGGCATGACAAACCATTCAGATGTGTTTGAACCGAACAAGCTCTCTGCTGAGTACAAAACCCCCTGCATCTTCTGTTTCATTTAGTTTTACTCAACATTTTAATAGTTTTACTGAACACTTTAATTAGTTTTCATTTTTGCCTAGTATATTTGTACTAGTATATAAAGTATATAGTACTTTAGAGCCAGAAGGAAGTTTTAACAGATAGACTTCTCTGCTCCAAGATGAAACCAGCACCATCTGGGATGTGAAATAATTGTGGGAGCATATATAATGAGACTTATTTCGCACTTCTTCCACCTCAGGTTGCAGGGATAGGTTGCAAAGAGAATAGCACATAGGAGAGAAGAGACAGCCAAGAACTTACCTTGCCTATGAGCTTTCCTGAGGAGGGGAAATCTGTAGTGGAAGCCTGGTGACTACTAGAACCTATGCTATGCCATTGTTAACATTTTCCAGGAGAATGTTAACCTGTGAGATAACAACCTGATTTAGCATCTATCTTCAGCTGTTCTAACTGCCTGGAGGCCACTCCTGAGCCTTGCCATCCATTAGTCCTATGATGGCAATGGCCCATTGTCCTAAGGGATTAAGTTGCAGTGGAAAGCATGGGGTATGGCCATTATAATTAAAGCACGTTATTGAGTTTTCAGACTCAATGTCACTTTTAGAGTGACAGCTCTTGTCAATACTAAGGAGACAAGAAACTACAAATGTTGGAAGAAGAAGTTAAGAGTAATAAACAGCTGAGTGGGAAAAAAAGGAACTGAAAATCACAAAGAATATACACAAACATGTTTTCATTACTATCTCTAAAAGGGTCAAGAATATAAGGGTCTAGGGATGAGCACTAAAAACAACAGGGATTGAAGACAATGATCCATACGAAGAGAAATGGGAAATCTTCCGTGTCTGGCCCCAACAAAAGGCAAAAACAATATGCTCCAAGGGGAAAAATAATCCTTGTATATACTCAACAACCCCTTAGCAAGTATTTTTAAATATAAGGGAAAAATCTTCTTTCCCAGATGTGCAGTTTGTCAAAATCCCTGTCACAGGTATCACAAAGGCTAAGAGCTTAACAGGATTCTACAAAAGAGTACGATATATACAGACACCATTATCTTTAAGCAAAGGTAAATAATGACAAACTACACAGATCTTCATTCCTCAGAGCTTAAATCAAAGCAAATCTCTTAGCTGGCACACTTTCACTGTGCAACAGAGAGCAGAGGTCTCCTATCAAGCACTGATCCGAGCTGGCCTGGCTGATGGCCAGGGCACACCAGTACACAAAAAACAGGGCCACAGCTGTGGCTAAGAATGTGGAGGAGGGCTTAGCCCTGAAGCACCAGGCATCATCATCACTTCTAGTCCTGGATCTAGCTCAGTCCACTGAGTCCACTGAACTCATCTGATACCAGCCATAGTCCATGCATCCCCAGTAAAGATGTACACACTGAGACTGAGGCCTTCAACAACTATTAATTAATTCAGCTTTCTCCTGATCTCTGAAATCACTGGTTTTGGTCACTGTCAAAGCAAAGATAATTTGAACTCCTACTAAACATCAGGCATTACACTTAAATCCCAAGGGCACAGGTAATAAGCATTCTAGTGAATGCACTGACCTAAGCAAAGAACTTTCCTGTGTCTTCTAGGAAACTGTTTATTGCTGCAAAAAGGCTTGCAATTTCCTGTGTATCTATCAACTGATAGTATCTAAGCACAGTTACTTCCTATATATACACACAGAGTATAGACCCACTGTTTTCATCCCATTAAAAAATTGCCAAGAAGCTTCAGTCTGAAGCTACATATTTGACACAGAAACTGCAAATGTTACCTTCTGAAACCAAAACAGATAACCAAATGAGCCCAAATTGTCAAGTCTGAGATATGTACTGAGGAAAAGGTCATTCAATACTGAAGATGGTTGGGGAGAAGGAGTCTAAAATGTACTTTTGAAAACACTGATCTCACATAGGCAGATTGTGTGTAGACATTTTGGACAGTTTTAAAGCCCTGCAGAATACTTAAGCTTACCTGCTTAAGCACAAGACAGCGGGGACATCCAGCTAGGTCACTCATTCAGCTGGGGTCTTGCTACCCCAGTGTTCAAATAAATATTCTTGGTTGTTCAGGTGCATCCAAAACTAGGTTAAACTCTGAGTAAAAAACCTGAGCTACAGGATGTCTTTCTGAAGCTCACATTCCAATAAAGTGGCACCTTGCATGTAACAAATAGAAGCACAGTATTCCGCTTGGTAGACAAAATCTTGGCTAAATAGCAAGAGCAGAGAAGAGGTAGGAGACCTTAGGATTACAAACAAGCAGTAGTATATTACCTGGTTGAATAATTTCTTTAACAACAGAAATATATTCCTCAGGTTTCTGATCAGTAGAAATCTCTTTGCTGCCTCCATCTAAGGTCAGTATCTCATGAAGAATCTCTGAATTCTCCACTCCACAAAGCAGAATTACCACATTATCCAGAGGTTTTAGAACTTGTTCCAGAAAATAACTTCTTTTTTCATTCAGGCAGTTAAGAAGTCCACATGAGAGTATAAGGAGTTTACATTTATAGGACGGTAAACAGAGTAGTTCCTGGTGCTTGAAAGATGAATTTTCTAGGTTGTAGAGTAAGATTCCTTCTTTGTTCACTTTGAGTCCAAAAAGAGATTTTAAATACAGAGCCCATTCTTCTGCTTCTTGTTCATATATCACGAGGATGTCCTTTGTATTTTCTAGAGAGAAGAAAACATTTCAAACATTTTTCAAATGTATTTTAAATACATTATAAATATCAGAAGACAGATTGTTTGTTTCCCCCCAGCAAAAACTTAAGCTGCTGAAAAAATTACCTTTAGCAGAAATCAGCTCATCACCTTGAAATTACAATCATCTCCTTATTTCTAAGGTCAAGGCAGAAAGGTTGTCCATAGAAATAGTGGAAAAATAGCTCAGGATATTATGTTTAGAATAACTAATATTTCAGAATAAGTATTGAAACTGCAGTGTAGGAAGCAGAGCACATTCACACATTCTGCTCCCTCCTATAGTCTAAAAGTGGAACACTTAGCTTTTAATGACAGAAGTAAAGAATATCTATTTGAACTCATGAACATGATCTGACTTCAATAGAAAATTAACTGGTATGTTTAGGATATTTTGTCAACGTGGTGTCAGGATAGAACCTCATGATCTTTTACTGTCCTTATTCTAAGAAAATTACTTGAGACCTGACAAAAATAAATCTATAACTATATTTTTTCAGTTTTCTGTCTCTTTAAGACATAAAACATGATGCTAACAGGACAACTAATACTCCTTCATAAAGTTACTAGGGTGACAGTTCGAGACAGAGGCAAGAGGCACAAGCTGAAACACAGGAGGCTGCCTCTGAGCATCAGGAAATGCTTTTTTTTTACGGTGACCACTGGCACAGACTGCCTGGAGAGGGTGTGGAATCTGTCTCCTTGGAGCTACTCAAAAGGTGCCTGGATATGGTCCTGGCTCTAGGTGTACAAGAGAGCTACCAGATGTCCCATCCATGTCCCAGAGACCCATGTCTCAGTCATTTCATGGTCATGTGAAAACATCAAAAACTTTGATTTGATGAGAAACGCTAACAATTTACATCAAGCTAGGGTAGCTTAGTAGCCCCAGAGCAGTTCACAATCACAGCCCTATGGAGCAACAATGTGAGGCTGAGGAATAGATACAGCTTCTGCACTTCACCTTCACTGTGCTTCAGGGTGTCTGCCTGCTGGTCAGGATCAGGCAGCCTGACTGACACTTGCCTGCAGCTCCTTTGAGTGCCTAAGCTGCTGCACTGTGAGGATCAGGAGGTAGGGAAACAGAGGGCCTAACCTAGAGTTAGAATGTTTCTGAGGCACACAAAGGATGTGGGCAGTGGGATGCATTGTTGGAAGTGCAGTACAGATGTAGCTAAGAAGAATAAAACACTTGTCAAGGACCCCATGTAAGTCCATGTATAAAAGGACAAACTGAACCTGTATCTCCAGTCCAGGATTAATACTTAAATTATTTTTCTTCCCTTCCTTTTAGAACAAATAATTTCTACACTTTGTTCATCCATCCTTTACTCTGGAGATACTTGAAACAAAGTTCACCCAGCAAAAGTCGATTGAAACTTGTAGAATAGGGACTCTATAATTTAGTCTCTTGAGTTCACTATGTATCTACAAACTACTTGGAGGACTTGTTGCAGTCTTTGCAAGATTTGTGAATCCTCACCATTGCACAAAGTTTTCTGTCACAGGAAATCTTAAAGGGCCATGCTCAACATGGTAGCAGCTGATAATATTTCAAGTTAACTAACTCTTACCAGTACATTAAAGCAAGGTAATATTTGTCAAAATGTATTTGGAGAGGTGAATACCATATTTCCCATGGTACAAAAAAATCTGAAAAATACCTGTTTCTGATGAAATGCTGAATATTAATAGTAAGAAAAATAGCAGTGTATTTCTCAATTAACTCAGAGCAAAATTGTTTGGTTTATGGTGCTGGGATAAAAAAATCTACTTGCTTCAACATTGTTTTCAAAAGATCATCTGATCTTCCATAAAACTCATAAGACAGACATGCACAAAGTAGAAACAAAAAGCTATGAATTGCCACAGTTTCAAAAGAAGAAACTGTATTAAAAGCGCTGTAAAGCTCTTTCAGTCTGATCACACAGTGTCCTATCACAGAAAATGGAAAGACAAGTACCTTCTATTTTCAGTCCCTATTAAATAAAAGCACTGTAGCAGTTCTTTAAAAATATGAATATAAAGACAATACTTACACCATAAGGAAATTTTAGAAATTCATTCTTTACACTTGGCTTGAATTTATTTAGTTCTAACTTCCAGCCATAATATAATGTCATATATTTCTGTAATCCTAAAGGACATCTGTTCTTTTGCTCTCAGAAATCTGTCCCCTAAGGTCCTTCAGATTCCCACAAAGTGACTCTTAGCCTTGCCTTCATTACAGTTTGTAAACTGGGATTAATGCTCTTCCCACTACAATGGAAACATTGTAGAACTCTTCCTATTTTTTTCTGCACTTTTGTGAACCCTCCTGCCTTGTCAAAATACTGAGAAAACCAAAACTGCATACAGGGTAGGGGTTCCTTCATACAGCACATGAGAAGAAAAAAAATCCTTGAGTATGCACATGGGCTCATAAACAACGAATTTCATATTCATTCACCCCTGTGCAAATGGAAAGTACAAGGCTTGAGTACTCAACAAATTTTCAAGATAAAAGTGAGAAACATGCATTGAAAGGATAAAAGAAGACAAAGTAATTCCACTTCCATATGGAATATCTGCACCAGTCTGCAGCTTTGATCTTGGCTAAGCAGGAATGAGAAAGGGGTTTTATGATGTTTATTGAAGGCTCAACTGCATTTCTTCTTAACTATATTGATTTTTATATATGAGAAAGAAAGCTTTATTTGTATAAGAAAGGGGAGTGAAATATATCTAACACCACACTTGATGGAATAAAGACTCTGCAGCACACATCTCATAAAGCTCTAATGCAATATGCCTCCTCTATTTAATTTGTCTTTTCTATGTACAGAGGAAAGAGCCATGCTGTTGAGCAAGGTTTTTCTTACTGCAGTTTGGTGCAATGTTTATTGAAGCAAGCAGCAAGTGCTATCAAGTTACCTATGGGAAACCAAATGCGGGTATGGTTTGAATTATAAGCTTGCATTTTATTTCTGACATTGATCTGCCTTCTGTATTAAGCGTTAACTTCAATATTAAGCAGGAATGTAAGGCTTGCATCTTACTTCCCTCAAATTGTATTAAAAGATGAAATACCACTATTTTGAAATGCTTGCCTGAATTGAAATGTGGAGTCAAAGTTTACCCTAAAAGTAGTTACAATGTCCCCTATCAAAAATCCACTCTATGCACTAGCAGCTTTTTCCTGTGATAGTGTTTTTGCCTTCAGAGATTCTACTAAGATGCATATGTGGGCAGCTTACTTGAAAATTAAAGCCCACCAAAACTCTGCCTTTAGAAGAGTATTATTTTTAACTGAAACAAAAAAAGATCAAGTCTAGCTTTAATGCAACACTACCCAGTACCAAATATACAGTAACAATGCTTAACTTTTCAGACAGAGTTTTTTTCCCTTCATTATTTTATTTCTTTAATATTTTATCTCTTCATTATTTGATCTCTTACTGAATAGTGCTTTGAATTTACTGCACTTGAAATATAACATTATTTGAGAATAACCTTGTTCCCTCAAAAGTTAATGTAATAGAAACTATCATATCCTAACAAAATTAAGCTGTGCTTCATCTGCTCCTACTTGGCAACTGACTCAAAGGTAGAAATAAAATGTATTATTAGTTCAGCAACGAGAAACAGGAAGAGAATTTATGCAGTCATCTGTAACCTGAAAGGGTTTTTTCTGACGAGCAAAACTCTTTAGTTACTGGGGCATGGCTGCCCATGAAAGCACATCTCATGTCATCTGAAGAGCTCTTTGAGAAAACCTGCTAGATCCTGTGAGACTACTGTGACCAAGCAGGAATCAAGAACTTGTGTATATAGGGCAAAAGAACATGTCTTTTATGGCAAGAATTATAAGATATAGCAGAGTGAAAAAAAAGCAGAAGTATAATCAAGAGTTAAAGGAAACCTCAAAAACTCTGCAATGCACCAAACACACTAGGAAGGCAAAGGAAACAATTTGAAAATGGGGGTCTAGTAGCTGCTCATTAACAGATATATCATTTTATGAAACTTGTAAAATTTATGCAATCTTGTAAAAGGTAATTTCTGTGTGCTCAGGAATAATCAAGAAGCACTCGGTAACTCTCGCCTTTGAGAGGGACACTATGCAGGTGCCAACTCATTCCCTATCTTTTTAAAGGCCTTTTAGGTTTGCAGGAGTTTGTGAAGGTTTGTAGGTGAAATGCTTTACTTCTAGATATCTTTGACCTGCATTTCACTAGAGTTCAGCACTAATAGACTTTGTTAGACTTAAATAAGGCTGATTACAATTAGGCTAGGGTTTAAAAATTGGCTCTATGGTCCCATTACCGTAAGACATTTTGGTAAAAAAAGTCAGGTTTGAACATCAACTTTTACCCAAGTTTTAATGGAAAGATGGATCACCATATTTCTCAGGGTTGTCCAAAGCCTTTTCCAGTTTTGGTACTGGAGCCTAACAATGGAATTCCCTCCTGTTCACTCAGCTGCCTATGGACTCCTATAACCACATACCAAGCCTGCCACAGTCAGCGCTAAAAAAAACCGCAATGCAAGTCTGTTTACAATCCTCACCTCAATCCCATCAGCCTTTGATACTTGTGTGAAGAAATCACCCCTTCAAATTGTTCTCCACCACTATGTGGAGAAAGGACAGGATCGACTGCTGGACAAAGCATAAAATTTGTCCCTTTTATTTCTCCCTGTCACAGATGTCCTCACCTGGAGAATGGAAGGTTGTTTGATTTTTTCAAAATATCAGTCTTGAAAGACATTAGAGAAATAAAAGTATGAACTCTGTCAGCATGCAATGAACTACTGTCCATCAGCAAAAATTTGTTAAAATAATTACAGTAGTTAAATATCTCAAAGGAGAAGTGGAGAGGCACTGAAGCTCTTGCTCACTTTCTCATAATATATTGATGAAAAATCTGGGCAACATAAGTGATATGGAATGACATCCATTGCATCTTTAATTCTTTTGTGACTAAGAGACT